TCTATCTATCTATCTATCTATCTATCTATCTATCTATCTATCTGTCTGTCTGTCTGTCTGTCTGTCTTTTAAACTTCAGGCTTTTCAAACTACTTTAATATAAAAACCTTTAAACTTCAAGCTTTTAATTTCAGTTTTAAATTTTTCAAAGCATTTTAAACTTGCAGACTAGGCTTTCTCAAGCCAACATCAGACTTTACTTTTACACTTTACTTTCTAGTTCACTAATATTTAATTACATTTATTTTTATATTAATCTAATTTATTTAATTAACACAAATGAGATATTGTGGGCTGTAAAAGTAGAATAAGTTATAGAAATAAAACATTTTAGAAAATATACAAAGGGTTGTCATTCACAAGGGAATATATTAAGGAATATACAATTAGGGTAGGGTATCTAACATTTAGATATTAAACATATTTATTCTATGTCTCTTTTTGCAAAACATTTAATTGCTGCCGATGACCATGAACAAAAATCAGCCGGCTGCATAAAAATGTGTGCAAAATAGAGCTGCACGATAAATTGGGACTTTTTTTTTTAAATGGAGGTTGTAGCTCTCACAATTCTGAAGAAAAAATATTAGACAACTAAAAATCTCATGGAATTTATTAATGGAATGATTCAGTGACTTACTCAAGATGTATTTGTTTAATTACTGAATGAATCAGTGTTTTTGAATGAATCTCTTGAATTAATGATTCAAAGGCAAATACAACAACAACAACAAAAAAAAAAGATGTTGCGCACACAGGAATAGATAGGTGGAATTGAAATTTTATTTTACAACAAGTATCTGATTCCTTACCTTAAGTATACGATTCTGGAATTGGAATTGATTTTCAATTCCCAACCCTATATGCAATATAAAATTATAAAATTTGTGTTAAAAATATGATGTGAAAAAAGAACCAGAATAAATATACAATGAAATATGCAGTGTTATGTACAATTAAACAAATAGTTTAATGCACTAACTTCACAAAAAAACAAACAATGTTCAAAGTTTTTTATGTTATCCATATGTTTTATATATATATATATATATATATATATATATAGACTTGATAAGAATAGATTTGGCCAGTTTAATATGTTTTCTGGCCAGTTTAATATGTTTTAATAAGTCTTGCAATATGTTTTCAGCCAACTCGTGACGATCGTGGGTGGTTCATTAACCCGCTGGGTCCGAACCCGTGGTGGACGTGTGTGATTACAGTCGTTCCCGCCCTCCTCTGCACCATCCTCATCTTTATGGACCAGCAGATCACAGCTGTGATCATCAACAGGAAGGAGCACAAGCTGAAGGTGCTGCTAGTTTCTTCAAACTCCCTTCAAGTCTGAATGAAATGAGTTAACCCTTCGTTTGACGTCTTGTTTCTACAGAAAGGCTGTGGCTATCATCTGGACCTGTTCATGGTGGGCGTGATGCTGGGCGTCTGCTCTTTGATGGGGCTGCCGTGGTTCGTGGCAGCGACGGTTCTGTCCATCACTCACGTCAACAGTCTGAAGCTGGAGTCCGAGTGTTCGGCGCCTGGAGAACAGCCCAAGTTCCTCGGGATCAGAGAGCAGCGGGTCACCGGCCTCATGATCTTCCTCCTCATGGGCTGCTCCGTATTCATGACCTCAGTGCTGAAGGTCTGGAGCTCAATAATCAAGATATTCGTAATTGCATTTACATTCATGCACTTGGCTGATGCTTTTATCCAAAATTATTTGCATTGCATTCAAGCTCTACATGTCATGCATACACCCTTGAAGTGAAAAAGTGTGCTTAATTATATTAAATGTGAACTTGTAGTTCATTCAAATCTTAAAAGTATATTTTTAAAAATAATATAATATTACTGAAATAAAAGGCCACTTAAGTGCACTCTTAAGTGAGTAAATGTTTCTTAAGTACACTTTTGAAAATAATGTTAAATTAAAAGTTTCACTTTAAACTTTTAAATCATTATGTTTTTAGATTTTGTTGTGCTTTTAAGAAGTACTCTTGTTTCGACTGACATACTGAAGCACATGTAAAGTACTGTTATTCAAAAATAATAAAGTGTGTTATTCAATATTACATTTAAAGCTAATATATTTTATATGTACTAAATTGCAACTTCATCATTACAGATGTGTAACTGCAAACATACAGTTTTAATAGAAATTACATTAAAGTATATATGTGACCCTGGAGCACAAAAGCAGTCTCAAGTCGCTGGGGTATAAAAACAAAAAGTTTTGTGGTCCAGGGTCACATTTTAATTACATATATATTTGTCTGTACATTCAGTCAGTACACTTTAAGCATATTTCAGAAAACTATAAAAGCAATTCCAAAATTACATATAAAGATGTACTTAAGCCCCGCTTAAGTGGGTCAAAAGCACTGTAAAGTTCAGCTAATTGCATTTCATATAAATTTAAACTATTTTACTTTGTATCTATTTTTAACTAAATTTAAACGAACTAATTAATTGCATTGTGGGCAATGCGCCGACATACAGCGCTGTTGTGCTGCGGGCGTCCTGAGTTTGAATCCTGATCTCGCCCCCCATCTCTCTCCCACTTCGCTTCTTGTCAGTTCTGATCTGCCCTGTTGTAATAAAGGCAAAAGTGCCAAAAATAAATCTGAAAAAAAAAATGTCTGGAAAAAAAAAAATTCTAACAGTTCTAACATTAAAGTGTGCCTTAAGTTCACACTTAAGTATTATTATTATTGCCGTAGTAAGTACTAAAGTGTACTTATTTTTCACAAGGGTAGTTCATTCATCTCCTGGGAAGCGAAACCACAACATGGGTTTTCCTAGCATTGTGCGGTTTGAATTATACAGTAGAAGCGCTATTTTAGAAGTGAACGTTAAAAGGGTTCATACTGTGAGGAATCAAATCATAGAGATCATTATACAATAAAAACACTTTTAAAACTCCAGGGTGGTCATATAACACTAAAAGTGATCAAATAATACTAACTTTTTTGCACAAAACCTCAGGGTGAACAATTAGGTATGAAAATGTTTATTTTGTGTATTCCTTAGTTTATTCCAATGCCGGTGCTGTATGGAGTTTTCCTTTACATGGGTGCATCTTCACTGAGAGGAATACAGGTAAAAACACTATAGACAATGTCTGTTTACAGTGTAGAAGCATTTGCAACGTTTCGAACTTTGTGCTCCATTTCGGACAAAATGTTATTATATTTCCCCTATTTTCTGTCATTTTAGTTTTTCGATCGTTTGAGATTGTTCGGGATGCCAGCTAAACACCAGCCAGACTTCATTTACCTGAGGCACGTTCCACTCCGAAAGGTTCATCTGTTCACCATCATCCAGCTCAGCTGCCTGGTTCTCCTCTGGGTCATCAAGACCTCCAGAGCCGCCATTGTCTTTCCCATGATGGTGCATACTGAACTTTTTATATTATCCTTAATATTTACCACAGTATGCAAGTGTAAACTAGCTTTATCTGTCATGTATGTACAAAGATAATTTACACTAGTAGTCAAAGGTCTGGACATATCTACTTCAGTCTCCTTCAAACTCATTTAAAGGCAAAATTGTAATTATATTTTTAGTTTTGTAAAAAAAAATTCAAATGTAGTTTGGCACAATACTAATCAGAAAGATCATGGAAACATATATAGTCTGCCAAACATATCTAAGCGTATGTCTGATAGAGTAATTGCCTTGTGTAGCATCTCTTAACTGTTTCCACTCATGTTTTTCGAGTAATATGTGATAATTGAATTAGTGATTTGCTCGCGGCAGGTGTTGGCGCTGGTTTTCATTAGAAAGCTGCTGGATTTTATCTTCACAAAGCGGGAGCTCAGCTGGCTCGATGACCTCATGCCCGAGAGCAAGAAGAAGAAACTGGAAGACGCTGAGCGAGAGGTGAGCTATACAGTTTATTATCTAAATGTAACGTTCACTGTGAATAAGCACTTGGAATATGGCTGCAAGCAGCAATTTGCAAGGTCCAAGCAGAAAGCGGAAAGAACAAATGAAATGCACAGATGTGCCTGACATCAAAGATCAGAAGAGGAATTTTAAGGGTAACACTGTGTATAGACAAGACTTCTAATCAAATCCTGAAAAGTAAACAGAAAAGTTTTTTTTTTATTTTTTTTAATGTTTTTGAAGTTTCTTTTGCTCACCAAGGTCAAAAATACTGTAAAAAACATAATGTGAAGTATTATTGCGATTTAAAATAATTCTTTTATATTTGAATATATGTACAAATTAAATATAAATAAATGTAAAAGATTAATTCCTGTGATGTAAAACTGAATTTTCAGCATCATTACTCCAGTCTTCAGTGTCTCATGATTCTTCAGAAATCATTCTAATATGCTGATTTGCTGCTTAAGAAACATTTGAAAACGGTTTCATATTTTTGTGGAAACCATGATACATTGTTTAAGAATGCTTTAATGAATAGAACGTCTTTATTTGAAATATAGAAATTGTTTTGTCTTTATAAATGTCTTCACTGTCAATTTTGACCAGCTTAATTCATCCTTGCTGAATAAAAGGTTTAATTTCTTTTAAAAACCCCAAACTTTTGAATGGTAGTGTATTATCAAGTCAAATTGTCAGCAACTTGCCGCCATCTGTCAGATTTTTGTGATATGACATTTACTCATTCATTTACTTACATATTTATTAAACATGAGCAGAATAAGTATTGAAGTTAATGTTTATTTATTTCAAGTAACATTTAAAAAAAAAAACATGGTTTCCGTTTTAGTGGCTTTTCCCGTTTCTCTTGATTTCTTAGATAAGATTTAAGGACAACGATTTTTAGATATATTTGATTATTTTTACATAATTAGAAAAATGTATATTTATTATAAAAATGCCCATGGAGTTTTTAATTTCGATGACTCTTTTCAGGTCTAGAAATCACACTTTCAAAATTAGGCTACCGCATATCGGAACCTTGATTCTTCAAAGACATAAAACAGCTGAATTAAAAAAAAATATATATATCGATTTTAGGGTTAGGGTTTTGTACATTTTAGGGTTAGGGTTAGTTTTTTTTTTTTTTACATTTTAGGGTTAGGGTTAGGTTTTTGTACATTTTAGGGTTAGGGTTTTGTACATTTTGATATGACATTTACTCATTCATTAACTTACATATTTATTAAACACGAGCAGAATAAGTATTGAAGTTAATGTTTATTTATTTCAAGTAACATTTAAAAAAAAATACATGGTTTCCGTTTTAGTGGCTTTTCCCGTTTCTCTTGATTTCTTAGATAAGATTTAAGGACAACGATTTTTAGATATATTTGATTATTTTTACATAATTAGAAAAATGTATATTTATTATAAAAATGCCCATGGAGTTTTTAATTTCGATGACTCTTTTCAGGTCTAGAAATCACGCTTTCAAAATTAGGCTACCGCATATCGGAACCTTGATTCTTCAAAGACATAAAACAGCTGAATTAAAAAAAAATATATATATCGATTTTAGGGTTAGGGTTTTGTACATTTTAGGGTTAGGGTTTGTACATTTTTCATTTGTATTTAAATCATTGCATACATATATCACTCTCGCTCAGACGTTTTTGTAATTCCAGGCTTTCCGATTTGAAAATGCTACAATTTCAAATTTACATTTAGAATAACTCTGCAAACATTTGTCAACCATTCCTTCACATTTAATTACCTATATGTCCAAATAGCGTGCATGCACAGTTTTGTGCGAATCAGTTATGTGGTTCATGAGAAGATGATTTTTGTTTTAAACAAAAATCTAGGCAAAAGATCTAAGAAAAGGAACATAAATCTCACATCTGTTGTTCAAATTGACCAGCAGCACTGAGCGATAATATTTAATATTTTGGTACTCTAGTTGCTAGGCAGCACTAATCCATCACATAATTGAGATTATTAAAGTTTGTCATCGAAATAACCTCCATGCAAAATTTGGTGACTTCTTGCCACACAGCTGTTTTTAAAAAGAAAAATAGGGAACAAATAAAAACCTGCTACAAAAACATCACTGTTTGGACCCCTAAAAACACTAGTAATTAGCATTTGGAAGACAATGTCCGTATAACTGAATGATACAACATGAGTTTATTCACGTAAGCTGAATGAAAGTAAAAGCATGAGTTTTCTTCGGGGAGTTTTTGAAATCCTTTTGCTTTAATGAGGAGATCTGATTTGTGCTCCAGTTTTGCAGTTTTGTTTTTCCTGCATTCGGAGACTTTCTGACCCCCTGGCACATAATCTCATGTTTTACTCTTGCGAAAATTGCCATGATACGTTTCTTATAGATGGACCCCGATTCACCCACCTCAGCATCTGAATGCATTCATTTCATGCCAAACAAATGGAACATGAATCGATCTGCCAAAATGTCCTTCAGCTTAGTTATTTAATCTCAAAGGGTCTCTGAAGTTCTCTTTGGCTGGACAGGAATAAAACTCTCTCTCGCTCTTTCTCCCTGTGTTTACTGCCAGGAGGAGCAAAGTATTTTGGCAGAGGAAGAAGGAATCGTACAAGTGCCATTGGAGGGACATTACAAGTATGGACCAGATTTTCCTAACTAATTCTCACAACAGCAAGCGATACTGGGTTTTGTTGGTTTATTAAAACAATAGGGCAATACTTGACAGTGATTTTACCATGGGTTCTGTATTTTTTATAAACATACTTGCATACAGGCTGTACATATATACACTAGAGAATCGAAAGAATAAAAGAAGTAGAATTAAATAACAACTTGAGACTTGATATACATTTAGAAAAATTAAATAAGTAGAATGAATGTAGAAAATACGTTAACAGTGTAAGGTCCACACACTTGGCCCAAGGAAGGTATCCAGTGGTGGATGAAGGTCACTTGCGTGTTCGGTCTTTTCAGCGCGCAGAGTTATTCAATTTAGGTTTAACTGAAATCTGACTCCATTTTATTATCTAATCTGACCCCATTTTAGTATTACCTCGAATTTAGGTTGAAAGGCAAATTGGTTGTTTGTCGGTCTCTAATTATTCTGACATTTGATAATTCTAGTTAACTCTTTACTCTGTATTTTCTCGTTCATTAAGAATCTATGTTATTTAGGATGCCTCACGGCGGCCGCTATGCGTGGGCTCCATCTGAGTTTCCTGAGTTTCTTTTATCCTTACAACAGGTTTTGAAAAAAGACACAAATTATAAATATTGACATTTATTAATAATTGGAATAAGCAGTTGTTGTCAAGCATTCACCATTGCATTACAATTTGGAGTCAAATTATGTTTTATGATTGGTTTCATGCACGCACAAGATTATTAATGTTATATTTTATTGATTTGAATGATGTTTTTATTGGTTATTTTCAGAGATGATCCTTCTACTATCAACATCACTGATGAAATGTCTAAAGGCTCCTTTGGAAGCACTTGGAACTCCAAAACTGATCTGAACACAAAAAGGTTCTGATTTCATATTTTTTCTGTTTCAAGCGCCAGAAAATCTCTCTGCAACCAACCACATGATTTGAAGAATCATTCCTCTTTATTACTCTCGGTTGTAAATGGTGCAGACGAGTTACATTCTGAAGTTTAAAAGTCAGAGTTATTTAACTCTTGTGCTGTGTTGAAAATCCTTTACCTAATTTGTTGTTCCTGGTCATTTCAAATAGTTTGTAAATCACTCGTTATGCTATATTAATCACCATTTTTTGTCAACTTGTTTTCTTTTAATTAGCAGAGGTTTTGCTTTTCCTCTTGGAATTGATTGATCGTAGGCCTCATTGATCTGAGCTCATCTGCATATCAGTTTCTGAATTTAAAAAAAACAAACAAACATTATTTGTGGATTTTTCAGATCAATGAGGCCTACAATCAGTCAATTCCAAAAACAAATACAAAATCTGTACTAACTTAAATAAAACATGTTGATTGAATTCAATATTTGGTAGTAATATAGCATAATGAGAGTTTTTTTGTTGGCCGGTCATTTTTGACACGTAAAACACCCCATGTGTAACAAGGTACAAAACTATTAAAAAGTACAACTATTGTTGTATCAGAATTTTGGGGATGTTGTTATACCCCGTGTAGTCCAATGCGATAACATTAACTAGCATTTTAAAATCGAAATAACACAATCAATGATGCAAATTCTTCAAATATGAGACCAAACCAAAGTATGCTGTAAAGCAGCAAAAAAGACAATTGTGTCATTATTGTGCTCAATAACTGTGTAAAGTTAATCAGACATTATAAAATGTGTTATTGTCTACAGAAGACAATAGTGACATTATTCAGCTCAATAACTGTGTAAAGTTCATCAGACATTATAAAATGTGTTATTGTCTACAGAAGACAATAGTGACATTATTCAGCCAGAGACAAGTTCAAATTTTTTTTGTCATCCGATAAGTGTTAGTGAAGTCAAATCAATAATACGTATCAATAATTAGATTTTATTACTTTACTTTAGTATTAAGAATGATTGTGGACAAAACAGTAACTGTCAGGTAGTTTTCTGTACACTAGCTTTCAAAAAATGTTGTCCTGCACCTTTAAATGGTCATTGTTTGGAAACACACATGTGCAAACATCATGTTACATATGTCATTTTATTTTTTATCCATTTATTCTGCATTTAACACATTTTGATTTAATTACTTTTTTTAATTTTGTTTTTATTAGCCCCCTTTCCTAAGCTTGCAGATGCTGATCCCCAAAGGTAAGCGCACTGGACTGTTCTCATAGCAACATCCCACGTCACTTTACGATCTCATCATGTCTTTCTTTGCATGGCAACAGCTATTTTGACCAAATGTGCGGCGTTAGACAGATTTGATTGTAATCCATCTGGAACAGATATTTACCATTATGTGTCTCTCCAAGAATGTTTGAATTCAGCCCAATTTTTCCATCCAGTTAGTCAGTCGAAAACAATAAATCATTCACATCTCTCTGTAAGTGTCAGACAAAGATAGACAGCATGTGATCATCTTTTGTTGTTGTTGTCGTTTTTTTTTTTTTTACTGCTCACAGGAAAAATTTTTAATCAGCTGTGAGCTTGTAATGTGTGAATGTGTCTATTAGATTATTATTGAGATCATCATGTGTTCAATGCAATCAGAAGGAAATATTGTGCACAAAAAGTATTTTCGACATGAATACTTAAAGGAATAGTTCATCCAAAAATGAAAATTTGCTGAAAAATGTACTCAACCTCAGGCCATCCAAGATGTAGATGAGTTAGTTTCTTCATCAGAACAGATTTGGAGAAATGTAGCATTGCTTCACTTGCTCAGCAATGGATCCTCTGCAGTGAATGGGTGCCGTCAGAATGAGAGTCCAAACAGCTGATAAAAACATCACAATAATCCACAAGTGATCCACACCACTCCAGTCCATCAGTTAATGTCTTGAGAAGCCAAAAGCTGTGTGTTTGTAAGAAACAAATCCATCAAGGCATTTTAACAACTGTTGCTTCCGGCTAAAATACGAGTCCATAATCCATAACACTTTTTCCAGTCTACAGATTCCAAGCTCACGAGAGGTCTGTCTTAATAGACTTATATAGTATTGTTGAAAATCAGTTTCTCTATGGAGTAAATAAACGGGATTCGCTAAATTGATCAACAGTCGCTCAATATAGTCATTATGCACTAAAGAGCTATTGCAGTTTAGGGTAATACAAGTGAACTAATTCCCTTTTTATGTCATTTTGCAGCCTGTCTAATAAGAAAGTGCACAAGGAGCGTTGATGGAAAGAAGATTCACTGTGTTCACACACACACACACACACATTTACCTAGCTATCCAAATAGACGTATTGTTTTTAAAGGAATAGTTCACCAAAAAAAAAAATAAATATATATATCAAATAATATATCACATAAATATATTTATGTTTATTAATTTTTCTTTTGCAAACCATTCCTACAGGTATAAATAATGCACATTATAATTGCTTCAGACTAACCCATACATATACTCAACCTCTAAACCTACTCCGAAAAGTAAACATTTCACATTTATGTTATAATTTTCTGTAAGTTGTTACAGATTTAATGAACTTATGGAGACTTTTTTTCTAGCATTTTTGACCTTAAAGTATTGCTAGTTTACAAGTAAACGCACAGTGACAGTCTAATAACTTGTTTGACACCTTGGCTCCCTGTCTTGACTTGTGTTTCTGTATTTTTAAATGACATCACAATGCTAAGCTTTTTAGCTTCTAGATATAAAGCCTGTACATATAGTAATACCAGCAAATAAAGCGGTGATTGTTGTGTGGGAGATGAGAAGAAAGTGTGGCAGAATGTGAAATTAGTTTCAACTTTTATTTTAAATGCTCTTTGAAGTATTTTATATGTTTTGTATTTTTTTTTAAATAGCATTACTGCACAACTTTCACTTCCCTAAAGGTACAGTTTTAAATGTGTAGACAATATCTACTGTAGGTGAGCAATTAATAGCCATTTTATCATTAAATCGCATGCATCACAGTTTTTGTATTCATGTTTTGGGGCGGTGAAGAAACTTTTTTCATATAAAGTTACAGATTCACTGTAAGGCTGAGTGATATATAGCTAAACCAATTGTATCATTTTTAGCCTTTTTGATGATATTCAGTATATTCACACTATTGCCATATTTTGTCCTTAAGCAATACACTTCACCCCAGGTTGCTTGAGGGTCAGTACTAATGTAGTCAGTGTATTTACTTTTAAGACGCTTGAAAAAAAAGCATAAAAACATAGGCTACTGTAGATTCTTGATATACCTGCAATATCATTAATATCAGAAAATTGCTGTATTTTGTTTAAGACTACCTGTGCTTTAATGCAATGTTAATCATAGAAGATTCATTTTAGCTATTAATTTTTTTTTTTTTTGCAAAAATGTGTACCAAGAATGCTGCTTGTGTAAATATTATTTCGATCAGAGTTTATACCTCTGTTTTGAAGGCTGTACGTCGATACTCACAATGCCAAAGTGTGGATGTGTTTTCACGCTAATAATGGTGGTGGAGAGACATCTGAAGTCATATCAGCTGCACATCAGTAAACGGTTCCCTCAAAATGATTGTATTATCTCTTGTAAGCAAATGAATGCATTCACTGGATACTGTAGATACAGACTACATTCCCTTTTCACAAAATAAAGCAATAGTGTTTTAGAAGTGCGGGTCCATCTAATAATGAAGGTTTTGCATGTTGAGGTCATCATGCAATTAATAATTTCCATTTAAAAACTTTAACTTCTGCCGCTTATAATATTGCTATGTGTATTTATAACAAAATAGATAAAAATCACACATACTTTATAATCATTACCATAAATTGATTCAAATGTTTTGCTTTTATTATTATGTATATTTGTTTTGTATGGCTTATATCTTCACACACAGATGGTTTGATTTTGAAAGACAAGAGTGATTGTTATCATGCAAATATTTTCAGTTTATTAAAATGTTGACTTACGCTTAAGTCCTATTGCATTATTATAATGTCTAGTTCTTTTGACTGTTTTGATGTTTCTGTAAATTAACTTGAATGAACTATCACTAGATCCTCTGTATGGTGTGACTTTGGGATCTTTTATCTGTATGCTTTTTTTGGGTTATGACATAAGCATTACCTTCATTTGCACTTGTATTTCATGAACTGTGAGGGAACTAATTAGACTTTTCTGGGGATTTTGTTCCTGCTATTTCTTCTACAGTGAAATAAAAAGCTCTGCCATATGAATATGGATGTATGCCTTGAAGTATATCTCATACCTTGTTTCTGTAATTACCAAGGGAAAAATGCACAATATGTCAATGTCATATCAGTCTGACATACAGTTTGTTGAATAAATGTGATTTTAACAGTAAATAAAACGCTCTTGTGGATGTAGAGTGACAGAGAAATAGCTTGAGTCATATTTGAGGTTTAATGCCCAAATCATTTTTGGGGCCCCAAGTATAAATGTTTTTTTGTGAGCAAATACTAATGTTATTAGTGCAAACATATTCAAACACATCCTCAGATTTGCTGATAATAGCCTAATAATAAATCGTGAGTTGCTGTACAAGCCCATTATAGAAAGTAGTTAGATTGAAACTATTTATATACGAATAGAAAACAAGTACAAGACAATGTAAATAGTTTTGTGTGAAGAAAAAAAAAAAAAGGTATTAAAAGAATCTAGTATAAGTAGATATTAATAGTAAGTGCAATTTATTTTAGGTGTCTGCAAAACTTTAATACAAAAACAATTAAGTTAAAATGTTCCCTGTTGACTTTATGTAGCTCTGCCCTTTTCAGCGCTGCACTCGTTGTCTTAAAGGGGTCATATGATGCTATTTTAAAGATCATTATTTTGTGTATTTGGTGTAACAGAATATGTTGACATGCTTTAATGTTCAAAAACACATTATTTTTCAAAAACTGTACATTATTGTAGGTCCTCTATGCCCCGCCTCTCTCAAACGCTTCGTTTTCTACAAAGCCCCCTCCTTTGACAAGCGCAGTCCGCTCTGATTGGCCAGCTGACCCAGTGCATTCTGATTGGCAAGTCTGCCACGTTTGTTCTGACCAACTGAGGAAGAAAAAGCATTATAATAAATGCGCTACCAATGGCGATTAGTCTAACGATCGATTAGCTCATATCACATCAAACCGTGCAAATTATTATTATTGTTATACTTTGTTCTCAAATTGTTAATGTTAACAACATCAGCATTGCATAATTATGTGTATATAGTGTGTATTAGCGTGTAGATTGCAATTTCTGTACAGTCTAATCTCTAATTATCATACCATTCGAATTTCATATTAAGAAATTTTTTTTAACCCAAAAAGCAAATTATTCTTCCTTCGAACTGGTTCTCTTTAAAATTCAAATCCTGTGTAATCCCGGGCTATCTGTAATCAGATGCACATTTAAACTGGAATAATTTAATTTCAGTCACATATGTGACCCTGGACCACAAAACCAGTCTTAAGTCGCTGGGGTATATTTGTAGCAAAAGCCAAAAATACATTGTATGGGTCAAAACTATTGATTTTTATTTTATGCCAAAAATTATATCATTAGGATATTAAGTAAAGATCATGTTCCATGAAGATATTTTGTAAATTTCCTACCATAAATATATCAAAACTTAATTTTTGATTAGTAATATGCATTGCTAAGAACTTCGTTTGGACAACTTTAATTTTCTCAATATTTTGATTTTTTTTGCACCCTCAGATTCCAGATTTTCAAATAGTTGTATCTCGGCCAAATATCGTCCTATCCAAACAAACCATACATCTATGGAAAGCTTATTTATTCAACTGTATAAATCTTAATTTTCAGCTGTATAAATCTCAATTTCGAAAAATTGACCCTTATGACTGGTTTTGTGGTCACATATGTGTTTCATAAACACATAATCCTTAATGGATTACAATCCGCCATCAAAATGATAAATGTAATTATTCCAGCTGCTGTGAGAAAAGGCTAAACGATCCGCCACCTGCAGCATCCTCACATGCCATAACCTACTAGCAGGGCCGCATTAAGACTGTAAGGGGCCCCTGGGCTTTACCTCTTGAGGGGCCCTTCATCAACGAGAACTACAGCCTACATTCACTCAATCGTTATAATCAAAGCTCAAGTTGTCAGTCTTTTACTTTGCAGCTATAAATGTCATTAACAAAAGATTAAACAGGTCTGTCATATAAAATAGACACAAATATCACTGCATGAAATACACATGCACATAGCCGGACATATTTACACAGATATCTATATAAAAATGTGTAGCATTAAATTGCATGTGTTAATGTTGGTTAAATGCACTATGAACTAACATTAAAGAACAGAGCAAGGTAAATTATTAAAGGTAAATGTACACATTTACAAAACGTTCTGTGCACTTTGAGTTACACCTTCACAAATATGTCAAACTGCTTGTGGATCTTTGTAACAGGCTGGTAAGTTCATTTACATTTTCACTAATCTTACTCTACACGTGCAATTTTTTAAGTCCCTAATTTACCTTAATGATAGTGAAATAATTTATTAACATTAACCAAAAGAAATAGAAGATGTGAAATATTGTTAATCACGATAGTTCTTGACTCTTGATCAAGACTCTTGATTCTTGACAGCTAATGCAATAACTAGGCTAATAAATATTAACGAGTAAAACCTTTGCAACATGCTACAGTAGGCTACATTTTGAAGTGTTTATCAAAATTGTATTTTAGGTTTTTAATTAAAACTAAGGCCACCGGCTCGACAATAAGGACTGCCCGATGGCCCGGGGCCAGCGTGAAAGACGCTTGGGATCGATGACGGATTTGTCACGAAATTTAAACATTCAAGAGGGTTTAAAGCATTCATGCAGATGCGGGAGAGAGCTCCATTCAGTGTGTTCTGAGCGCACATATAGAGCCGCGTCTCAAACAGCGGGCAAGCCTGAATTGCGTTTCTTTCTGGGAAAATACATACAAAAGTAAAAAATGTATGCAATGTATGCAATTTCTGTACCTGAATACCTACAAACTCGAAAACCTAACGCATTGTTTAATTTTTTATCTTTGTTCTATTTATTCATTTATTTAGGCTATTTGTTCTATTGTTTATAATTGGTTCATTTGTTCTTATTTACTGACTTGTCTTCAATTGGAATCGAGAATTGTAAAATTTAACAGGTAGGCCTATCTATAAATTTGGTATTGAAAAAACAATGATAAAACAAAATTTTTTTTTGTGGCAGGGCAAATCAAAATTTGAACCACTGTTGAGCCCTTTTGGCCAAATCGCAAGTGTGAATCTTCAGTTGCTTCACGATTTGATTCGATTGATTATGATGCATCACAATGCATCTTCTCTTCCAATTGTTTAATTAA